CTTTGAGAATGACCTATATCTAAAATACCAGAAACAAGTGCAGGTGATTATGTGGAGTAAAAGGTACTCTTTTACACTGCTGATGGGGATGTAGACTAGGCCATCACCTTTGATTTTTTAAGCAAAAGATTGAAATAGCATCTACCATGTGACCGAAAAATTCCACTTAGTTTTCTACCTGAAGAATACAAAAACACTAATTCAAAAGGAAACTTGCTCTTCCATGTTTATTGCAAGAATATTTACAATATTCAAGCTATGCAAACAACCTGAGTTTCTAATGACATATGAGTGGATAAACAAGAAGTAGTATAATTACATGATGGAATACTACTCAGTGATGAAAAAAGAAAAATCATGCCCTTTGTGGCAACATAGTTGTAGTGGACAGGATTTGCTAAGTGAAATTAGCCAGGAGAAAGATAAATATTGCTTGGTCTCATTTATATATATAATATAGAGAAATCAAAGAAAGTGTCAGACAAAGACAAACTTTAAAACCAACTCTTGAATGCTGACCATGAAACAGGCATCCAGGGTGACTGGGGAGGTTGAGATTGAGAAAAAGGTAGGGATAGAGCACAAAAGGGTATTGTGAGGGACATCATATGTTTTGCTGGGTGATGTGCTGTTAGGAATACATCTGAAGGGTTAGATCCTATACTCCCAAAACACTAAAAAGAATGTAAACCCAATGTGAATTCAGTAATTTTTTTAAAGATGTAAACCGAAATCTAACAAATTATCATATCCAATATGAAACACTATAACAGAGCAAAAAATTAACAGAATGAAAAAAAACATAAAATATAAAATTTTAAAGTAATTAAATAGAAAAATGAAATGGAAAGCAAAATTACAAAATTTCATTCATAAGTTAATGTACAGTATATATAACTGCCTCGTGTTTCAGATAAACAAGAATACATTAAAAATAAAAAAGAAGCCAAAGGACCAGAAAAAGACAAACTGTAAGACTGACACTTGCATGTAGATCTTAGTTTTGAGACATTAAGGAATGCAGGGAGAGGGGGAGAGTAGAAAAAAGTGGGGGAGAGAGTGCAGTGGAGTGTGGTAGAGGACTGTGGGCACGTTGGTGATGGGAAAACTACAGTGACAACACCTGAGAAGGGAATCCTATATTGCTAAAAATAAACAAGAATTTTTAAAAACAATAATAATAATGAATAAAATAAAATCAGCAGTAAAGTGAAATTATTTTACCGAGAAACCTACATGTCCTAATGTATTACAGGACATCCTTGAAAAAGCATGCCTAAAACAAGCCGTATCACTAATCTTTTCTGACATGTGATTCAATAAATTCTATTTTCTTAAGTCAAAAAAATAAAGAAAAATAAAAGGATACTAAGGAAAACAGACATAAGAATTGGACATAATAAAATACAACTAACTGCTTCTATTCACAAATAGGATCTGTGTAGAAAATACAGTAAATTCTACATACACGCTAATGTACTAGACCTATTAAGTAATCTTAGAAATGTGAAAGAATGCAAAATAAATATTAAAAAAAATTGTATTCTATATTTTATATGCTAGCAACAAAACTAAAATCTAAAATTTTGAAAACACCAAATAAAAGTTTAAGTTACACTTGTTGTTTCCCATCACATTAATATGGTATTTTCTATCTTGTCTTTTCAAGAGCAAAGTTCATTTTAGAGAGCACTCTTTTCCTTCTTTTCTTTCTCACTTCTTTTCATATTTTCCACTTTCTGTCATTTCTACTGGATTCAGATATGCCCTACTGCTTCTGTGTTTTAGGCTTACTCCATATTCTCTGTTATGTTTTCTCCTTCTTCCTTTCTCCTCCCTTTCCTCATTCCATTTGTTTCCATGCCATGACTTTATTGTTTCTGTGCTAATTTCCTCTCTAAATATAATCTATGCAGACTTTCTATTTTGTGTGAGGGGATGAAATTAATTTTGTTAGTAATGTGTTTCTAAATTATCAGCATTCTCTAAATTTCTGACATGTTAATTTTTCTCCAACATATGACATCATTATAATAATTATTTAGTACTTAACATTTTTATGACATTTTATTAAGAAGTGCTTTGTTTAGGCATTAACTAACACAGAGCTCCACAAAACACAAATTTATTTATTCATCAGCTGAGAAAGTATTCTGATTGGAAGCATCCAGGAAATGAAGACTGCATTTCCTCTACAACACTGGTTCAAGTTATCTAATTCATTCTTAATGTCTTCTTTATACACATAGCCATAATAATAATGATGGTAGATTATATATAGATAGATTATATAATAAAGAATTTATTAAAGCTAACTAACAAATAATAATAGCTCAATTAATGTAAAACAAGACCAAGAAATTTTTGAAAGTCAAGCATCACAATAAATATTTTAATAGTTCTTCCTCCATTCATTAAAGTCTCATTGTGTGTCCCTTCTACATTTTGGAAGAACATGCTCTGGAAAATAGTAAGTTTCATCCACATTTTTTTTTTGCATGTATGCCACAAAACTTTACATGTGTATTTTATCTCCATGCAGATAGGTATATCTTGAAATGTGGATTCTTCATTAAAATGCAACTTTCATGTTTCCCCCCTATTATATTTACCATGACCTCTTCATTTTACTATTTAGAAAAACCTCTGGCAAAAAACAGTAAATTTTCTGATGACCCATTAATCCCACCCTGTGTAGAAATCACTGGTGTCTCCTTTCCTGAGTATTCTCTGTCTTTTACACTCTATGTCACCTATTTATGTGCTCTTCTAGATGCCCACCCTTCCCCCTCAATTCATTGGTTATGAACGTTATTCGTATTAAGTCTTTCCATTTCAATTTCTCAGGCTTCTGAACTTCTCCATTCATCTTTTTTGATTCTATACATTCTCTAACTAGAAATTTTGTTTTTCTATTTTCTGGTTTTTGAAGACTTAATGAGATGAAGGACTTTGGGTTGACAGGAACATGGTGTTCACTCTGTATATCTTTGTACAAAATTTTCAAAGCTAGAACTACTATCACATAACCCATATTGAGAAATCTATTTTTTAACAGCTATTTTTTTATTATTTTCTGTTTTTACCTTTTTTTTACTCTTTTCACATTACTTTTTTTTTCTTTTCCACTTTCCCTTATTCATGCTCATTCAGATATGCCCTATTCCTGGGCTTGTTCCTCCATTTCAGTACATATTTTTCTTTTTATTTTATTGGCACATGTTTGGAGTAAAATTGGTGAGTATTTTTCTATATACCTAGTCATGGCTTGATCTGTGACAAGTACTTAGCCTTCAGCTCTTCCTAGTTATCTTCCCTAACTCAAACACATGCCTATTTTTGCATGGCTTTCTCTTGAATTTATCTTCTACAGAAGTTGGTCATCTCATTTGTTATTCAATCTCTTCCATTTTTGGTTTGCTGATTTACCCTCTTATTATATTCTACACAGATATTTAATTTGTTTCAAGGAAATTTTATTAATAATATGCCAAAAATATTGGACTTTTCAAAATTTTCATAATGTGGGTTAGCTCCAAGATATTAGAGATACCATGTCATTTGATTCAGACTTCTTCAATGCAATTTAACAATTCATTTCCTTTTCTTTCATGTGTTTACTTAAAAAAAAGCTTCACTTAAGCATTAGCTATTTTTCAAAAGAGAAAATCTTGCCATTTGCAGCAACATGCATGGAATTGGAGAGGATTATATTAAGCAAAACAAACCAGATGGGGAAAAACAGAATGTTTTCAAGTATATGTGGAATACAGAGAATAAAGCAAAGGAAAAGACAAAAACAAACCAGTCCTTGAAAATGGCAACAGAACTTAGTTTACTGTAAGGGAGGGTTTTGATGGGGGCATTATGGGAGGGGTCCAACTGATAATGCAGGAGGATTAATGGTGCTTCTTAGCAGGAGTAGTGTAATGCCATACATTTGAAGATGTGTGAACCTATACCCATAAAACATATATATATATATATATATACTGCTGTAAAACAATGTAACCCCTCAAAACTACATTAAAACATGTTTTAAAAAGAAGCTTGTCAAGGAATAGAGGCATGGAAATTGGATACAATAAAATATACCTACTTCTATTTGTAAAAGGCATCTGTGTAGAAATCCACTGGAATCTACATAAACACAAATCTATTAGACCTAATAAATGAGCTTAGCAATATGAAACTATGTGAAACCAATATTTAAAAAGTTAATTGTATTTAAATATTTTTAAATGCCAGCAACCTCAAAATTTACAAGTTTTATGATATCAAAAATAAGCAAAATTTTAAGGTGCACTTACTTTTTCCCATAACATTCATACAGTATTTTCTATTTTGTTTTTTCATCAGCTTTCCAAACTCCAGGTAATGTTTTCTTTTCAAGAACAGTTTATGTTTTAGAGATCATCTTTTACTCTTTTCTTATTACTTTTATTCTTTTCCACAATCTCTTATTCATACTCATTCAGATATGTCCTATTGCTTTTGTGTTTTTAGGTCTATGCCAAGTTCTCTTTTATTCTCCTTCCATTTTCCTCACTTTCTTCATTTCATTCCTCTCTACTCCCACCTTTATAGTTTCTGTGCAGTAGAAGCTTACCCAGTCCTATGGAAAAGTTTCTGAGAAGAAACATAGATTAATATAATCCACAGCTATGTCCATCATTGTTATATTCTGGGTAACATTGGAAATTTGTTCCCTGTAACTTTATGCTTCCAAGTTGGTATGTGCTTTGCTTGACACACTGTATTGTTTCAACTCTTTTGAAAAGAGAGTGAATGTTTCATTTATAAATTTTATTATTTTTCCTATATGTACACTCAATAAACATGTTTTCACTGTCATTACAGAGAGACATTCTCAATGCTCTGTTCTTGAATTTCTAGGTTTAAGTAAAATCTTATCTATGGTCTTTCAAAGAATATCATATTAAGACTCACTGACAACAACTGATGGATTGACATTTCTATCTCATTATCTTTTTGTTTTTCAGAAGTTATTATAATTGAAAAAGGTAAGTTACGTTAAACATTTCTACACTGTGCTCATAGGCTTTTGGTGCTTTGGTAAGTGTTCCTTTGATTTTCGTCCTTTTGTCCTTGAAGCACACATGTTTTTCTTTTTTTTAATAAATTTTATTTTTATATTCCCCATACAATTGCAACCCCCTTATTTTGACCCCCTCCCTGCGCTCCACCCTCCCCTCCCTGCCCTCCACCCCGCATAGAGTGTCTCTGGTTCATAGTTTTTTGTTGATTTTGATTTTCACCTTCTTATAGTTATTCATTTTCCTGGTCCCTTATTTAAGTTTTCTAGATTCCTGCTATGAGTGAGACCATCCAGTATTTTTCTTTTTCTTTCTGGCTTACTTTGCTGAGCATGATCCCTTCCAGCACCATCCATGTTGCTGCAAATGTATTTTTTATTTACTTGATTATGCTTATAGTTCTTAAATCTTCCAACAAAATGTGTTACAGTTACTTCATTTTCCTTTAAATATCACTGGTTGTTAATATATAAGTTATTTGCTATATATAATATTTATGGGTGAACCTTTTCACAATGGATCCACTATTATATATTTCAGAATTTTTGGAGTTTTTAATCAAAATATTTCACAATTTGTCTTGAAATTTACTTATACAATTGACATTATAAACTAATCTACAAATTATGTATAACTCATTTATATTTAGAATCAATGGGTTGCCCAATTAGAAAGAAGTCAGATAATCTTTTGTTTTCAATAAACAACACTGGTATTACAGAGAAGGTAAACTGAGGCATTTGGAAAGGAAATATTGTGATATTTGGTATATTTTTTTGGGAAAGATGGATATTTTAAAAATGTTATTTCTTCAAATCCATCATCAGGGAATATTTTTCCAAATTTTGAGTCTTCTATTTTGTTAACAATATTAGGGATTTAATTTTTTAGATCCTTCAAGTCTTTTGTTAAGTTTACTCCAAGGTACTAAATGAATTTTGATGCAATTTTTATTTATTTTTTTAAAGATTTATTTATCTTTTATACAAGAACTGGGTACAGGCCAGATGTGCAGGAGGGTGAGAGATTCACCACAGACAGAGTGGGGAACAGAATAGGCATACTGATGAAATACACTGCTGAGGGGTGCAGCGGGCAAGACTGGAGAGGTCTGCTTTGCCGTGTGGGATTCCCTCCGGCCCGCTGGGATCGAACCTGCACTGCAGAGGCTCAGGACAGCTTCACAGTGTAGCGTTCAACCACCTGCGCCACCAGGGAGGCCCTTGATGCAATTTTTAAATGTAACATTTTTCTTGATTTCTTTGACCTCTACCTCATTGTTCACATATAAGAAGATTACTGGGCCTCCCCGGTGGCGCAGCAGTTGAGCGCTGGGTTGTGAAGCTGCCCGCAGCCTCTGTAGCGCCAGTTCGATCCCTGGCTGCTCACCGGCCACCGGAGGAGGGTCCTACATGGTGCGCAGACCTCTCCTGCCGCCCGCTGCTCCCTCAGCAGTGTACTTCGGTCCTTCTGCCTGCTCTGCTCCCGCTCTGTCTCTGGTGAATTCTCTTACCCTCTCACGCTTCTGACTGTACCCAGTGCTTGTATAAACAAATAAATAAATAAATCTTAAAAAAAAAAAAGATAACTAACTTTTGTGTATTGATTTGTAATGTGCTATTTAGCTGAGCTGACTTGATACAAATAGTTTTTTTTTTTAATTGGAGTCTTTCAGGTTTTCTAAATATATTATCTATGAGCATTTCTATGTATATGTCACCTGCAACTATGTCTTCTTTCTTCTTTCTGAATTTCAATTCCTTTCATATCCTTGACTTGCCTATTTGCTTTAACTACTGCTTCCAATATTATGTAGAAGAGCATTGGAATTGTTGAAGGTGACAGGGGGCACCTTTGTCTTCTATGAGACTGCCATTGAGAATGATGTTACCTGTGGAATTGTTGTATATCATGACTTTAATTGTGTTGAGATATTGCCCATAATTTAAAAAAATGGCAACAAGTGCTGGTGAGGATGTTGTGAAAAAGGAACTCTCTTACACTGCTGATGGAAATGTAAACTTGTGCAGCCACTATGAAAAGTTGTATGGAGGCTCCTCAAAACTCTAAATAGGAATATACAATGGGACTAGTGATTCTACTCCTAGGGCTCTGCCCAAAGAACACAAAAAACATTATTTTGAAAGAAAATCTGCAGTCCTATGATTATGGTAGCACAATTTATGGTAGCTAAGATATTGAAATAAACTAAATGCCCCCAAACAGATGAATGGATCAAATCAATGTGGCATATATGCAAGATTATGTAGATTTGAGGCAAACAGCTGCAGAGGAGTCAAAACAGGGGAGGGAAGAGCACAAGTTACTATGGTGATGGATCATGTTCCTATGGTGGAGGGAGAACTGGCCTAGAAATCAAATATTGTACTAAAATGAACAGCTGTGTAAGAAAATAAATTAATTTAATTATATTAAAAATAACTAGTATCACATCCAAAATAACTAAATGCTAGATTGATACATACATCTAAATTAGTATGAACTTATAGTTTTAAGTCATATACATTATTGTAACGTAACATTACCTCAGTAAAAAGTTACACAATGAAAATAAAGTGAATGAATCAATTTCAAGACACATAACTATAGAAAACAATCATTAAGTGAACTGGTGGGTGAAATAGACCAATACACAGTGATAGGAGTGAGATTATAAACCTTAGGAAATGTGGAAAAAGTGAGTATCACATTCTTACATCAAGCAATAAAGGGATTATTAAAACATTATCAAAACATTAAGTTTTGACAAGGATTTTCAGTTTTCCTTGAGGGTTTTAAATGTCCAACTTTCCAGTTTATTATGACTCTGAGAATGTTGCTTTTGTTATATTGATGTATCTAGGGAGGCGAGACATCAGAGAGGTTAGACATCATCTTAACTCTGCTTACAAGAGACTTGGTTGAGCACTCATTGTTTTGATCTTCATGTAACTGTCTTCTGGTCAGCAACAGACATTGATAGGTGTTGATTTTATTTCCTCACAGATTTATTAATATTTCTGCATAAGTTCTTTACAGAACAGTTCACAATTTTGGTCTATGTAGAGCCTTTGAATTTTCTTTCAGACTCTCAGATTGGGGAGAAGGGTCTCAAAACGCAATTTCACTTTAGCAATAGTAATATATGGTCATATGTCTACATTTTTTGTCCCCACATTTTTTGGTTATAGAATTCACCCATATTAGGGTTTCTCCATTTCTGTTTCCATAATTTTTCCATTCATTCCAATTTCATCTTTTTCCATTCTGTGTTTTCATTCATTTTCATTCTCTATATATTTTCTGGAACACATACATTAATTTTGGAGCTCTTTCACAATGTCAATTTATACTATCCTATACTGTATAAAACTCAAAAATCCATGAATAATGCCTGGTCTTTCATTCTCTATTATTGAAGTCGATGTAAATTCCGATATCACTCATTGGCTAAATGTGAACTTAGGATCACACTGCTACTGTCCATGATACTCCTAAAATAATTTTTCATACACACTAATATGATCTTTAAAGGCTGAACATCTTTCAGTTTGGTGAATTAATTCACATTTTCATTGGAAATGGAATTTAGGAATACTTTACTATTTGTAGCTGACTGCACATAACTCCTCCCACAGATGCAATTATAGAGTAGTGTCTATAATTTATGATTTATTTATTTATTTATGCATAGAAGAACTTGGGTACATGCCAGATGTGTGTGTGGGGGTTTGAGAGGACTCACCAGAGACAGAGTGGGGAACAGAACAGGCAGACTGACTGAAATACACTGCTGAGGGTAAAAGCTGGCAGTGTGACAGGAGAGGTCTGCTGTGCCATGGTGTGTAGCTCCCTGGCCGGCCGGGGAGTCAACTCCTGCTGCAGAGGGTACAGATTGCTTCACAGTGCTGTGCTTAACCCCTTGGGCCAAGAGGGAAGCCCTTCCTCATCATGTTCATTTATTTATTTATTTATTTGTTTAATTATAGATCACATGAGTTTAATATACATTTATAGGACACTGAAACATAAAAAAGCTAAATATACATTGTTCTCAAGTGCAGATGAGAGATTCCTCAAGGTAGATCACATATTCGGTCAGAAAACAAGATGCAACAAATTCATGAAGGCTGAAATCATTTCCAGTATCTTCTCTGGTCACAGGTTATCAAACTGGAAGTCAATCACAAAAAAAAAAGCATCTGAAATTATTTTCCTTCCACATAATTTGACATATTCTATTTTTTTTGTCTGCTGATAAGAAATTATCTCACTCAGTTTTTTTTTTTTGTATGTGTTTAAAAGTCTTCATTTTTGAAATTTATTTTCAAAGGGTATATTCTAGGTTGAGAGTATTTTCCTTTCAGCACTTCAAAGATGTCACTGTATTCCAGTCCTATTTGGATAGTGCCTGTGGGAGGTCTACAATAATTTTGCCTTTGTACTTTTTTATGTTCTATGTTTTCCCCCCTTTTGAATGTTTTCAAGATTTTTTCTCAACTATGTGAAATTCATAATACCCTGAATCCAATAAGAAGTTACACAGGCTCCAAAACAAAAATGTGACCCCAACCAGGAGAAAAATCAGTCAATAGAAACAGATGAAGAAATGAAGAGATTAAGGTGTTAAAGTACCTGTTACACCTGTATTTAAGGCTTTAAAGGAAAACTGTAACCTGATGAGAAGTGGGAGGCATTTTCTTTAAAGCACAAAATAAATATAACTGAACAGAAAACTATCTGAAAAACTTGACCACCTGTGTTAACAAAACATTGGACAATGTGTGTGTGTGGCGGGGTGTTCTTGAGCTTCATGACAGAACAATGGAAAATACTCAAAATAAGCAAAGAGAAGGAAAAGACTGAAAGCAAAATTGCCAATCTCTGTGACATGTGAGACAAAATCATGTGGTCTACCATTTATATTATAGTAGTCTCAGAAGAAATAATTATTTGAAGAGATAATA